GGGAGGGGGATGGGGAGGTGCCCACCCTCTGTTGGTTTCCAGTGCTGACAGGTCCCGCGTGGCATCACCGACAGACACCACTCGAAAAGGCATGATATCATGCTCATGGTAGTGGGCGATGATCTCTGCAAACCCAGCACGCTGAACGACACATGCACCCTCTTTCACACGTGTAATGGTGTCTGTCGATCGGTGTCTGTCAGTGTGTCTGACCTTCCACACATCCGGGGAGTGGTCCAGCAGACCCCTCATGCCGGCAAGATCCATAGCGGATATCACCGGTATGTCGTTGGCCTGCATGAAGCCCCGCAGCTGGTGGTAGGCCGGCTCGCTGAGTGCAGCGTTCAACCTACACACGCGCACACACACACACACACACACAGAGAGAGAGAGAGAGACAAATGAAGGGCTTTCATGGTGCTTTTGTGCCCACCCACCATGTCAGGTTCCCGTTGGAGCAGACAACCACCTTGGCGTACAACGCACTCTGCGCCACAAGGGCGAGGGCCGATGCGGCACATGCCCACAGCTTGGGGTCGTCGCTCCCGAGCTCGTCATACAGGGACGTGGGAAACAGGCTGCAGACACAAGCCACAAGCAACGGGGAAGGGGCGAGGTGAGGCGACGTGATACTCTGGCTGCATGAGACTTACGTGTCATCGAAGTCCAAGATGATCAGTGTCTGATCCTGCCTTGGGTTGATGTACCAGTGGACTTCTTCACCACTGCAATGGTCTGCATGAAGTCATCAGACAGACAGGCAGACAGACACACAACGAATTGGATCCATACCATCGATATATGACGAATTCATGCATCCCCTGATGGGTGACCAGCCAAACTATGTGGCACTCACCGTCCTCGTTGCCCGGCATACTGTCCACGGCGGCCCAGATGGATGCCAAGTGCCGCCGTGGACAAAAGTCGCCGTGACAGCTGCCCTTTGCAGTGCGAGATCCCTGCCCTGATGAAGCAATCAACCAACAGGGATGATGTCCTTTCTTGGGGCTCTTGGGGCCGAGGTGGGTAGCTGACCACTTTGGCGGCTGCCTGGCGCTCTGGAACGGCTGCTGCTGACTGATTACAGTGAGAAAGCTCCGACTCAGCCCTGAAGTCGGGATGCAGCGGCGTCCTTAGCTCGATCCTGGTGGTCAAGCTCGCAACAGAAATGACGGCTCAAACGCTTCAACGGACGATGGGGCCGTAGTCGGGGGGTATCAGTGAGCCGGTCTGATTAGAAAACGGGCCTCTCTGTGGGCGAAGTACCGACACCCAAGCAGATTCCACTTGCGAGCTTATAATATTGCAACGGCGCTTTCATGCTTTTTCTCTCAAAACGCTGGCCGAGAACAAAGCGTTGAGCACGCCAGGCTGCGCTGTTTCCCTTCGTGATGAATAAAAGGCGATGACCATGAAGACATCACGGGCCGTCTTGGCTACAGTCCTGCTGCAGCTTATCGTCAGATCTACTCATGCATTCCATCCGCCGACTTCGCCCCTGCTCTTCAACAAGCGCCAGGCAGATCGGGGATCACTCCAACTGACAGTGAGTGCACGACACGCCGACATGCACGTACTCACATACGCATCCTCTTTGTGTCTGTGTCTGTGACAGAATCGCCGGAGGGGACGCACTGCCAGTGCATGTCTTCAACCGCTCGTTCCCGCGCTATCAGGCGTGGCGTGTGGCGTCACCCTCGTGGCCTTCCTTCCATACAGCCTGTCATTCCTCGCACAAGCCCTTACAGAAGTCAAGAAAGTCGCTGCGTATGTGCACAGGGGGGGAGGGAGAGAGGAGGGATTCATTTACTCGTGGGGCGGCGTGCGTGCATGTTTTGTGTGTCGTACCTGTGTGTGTGTGTGTGTGTGTGTGTGTGTGTGCAGGCTGCTCCCCGATGTGCTGGAATGGCCAGCTGTGGCTGTTGGTTACCTGTATGTGATTTCTCTCTACTGGCAGGGGATGCGCGTCGTGTGTGTTTCAATAGGGTCCTTGCTCTTGCGTGAGTCAGGCAGCCTGACTCAGTGACGTTTGTCAGTCTTCGCTCACTTGGCCGATGAAGTGCATCCATCCCTCCATGCATAAATGGACAGACATGTCTGTGACAAATTGATGACAGGTCTGCAGGTTATGTACAGAACATTCACAGACGACAGAATGCACACACACACACACATGTACACACACTCCCACACACTTGTTATTAGTGGCATGAGGGCGGGCCAGAGATGACCCGCTGCACCGTGTGCACACCCTCTACCTTGGCACCCCTGTCGTGCAGCGCACACTTGCCTTTGTCCTCATGATACACGAACATGACACACCCGTCGTGCTTCCGGCACTTGGCCTGACACTGCAGCGCACCCAAATGCGCATCGTCGGCCGACTTGTGCTTGCCCTTGCCCTTCTTGATGACGGATTTGTGTGTGGCCTCCAGACCCACATCGACCCCCACACAGCCACAGGGAAGGGCAGAGGAATCCGACACTGAGACACAGAACGAACATTGCCTTCGAGCGATCGGTCTTACAGTGCTGCTTGGCGGTGTGCTGTGTGTACGTGTGATGATGTCCGATGGTGTGAGGGTGGTGCTGTCGGCGAGCACAGGTACGGCCCTCACGTACTTGACCTTCCGCTCGCTCCGCCCGCCAGTCAGCCTGTTGACAGGGATGATTTCCTCATAATCCACTTTCTCCCTCTCCAGCAGCAGACTAGGCTCGTCAAGCTCGGCCAGCCCACCGGCCGTGTCTGCGCCATGCACCCGCCATGTCTTGATGCCGGTCACCCCATTGTACGAGAGATGGAGAGTGGCCATCTCTCCTTTCGCCGCGCAGAGCAGGGCCCTTGGTGGGGCTGTCGAGTGGCCACGCCACGGGGCCAGGTGGGCACGGTAGAGCCGCATGCGAGAGGAGCTTGGGGCGGGCCGCAACTCGGTGACGATGGCACCGTCTGAGTCGACCTCTGTGGTCAAGGGGACATGCTCGTTCTTTGGAAGACCGCCGTGGGCTGCACTCAAGCACACGCAGATCAGATGGGTAGGTTTCCATCAACCCAGGTGCGTGTCTCTCTCGCATACCGATGAGTGTGTGTCCGTTGCCCAGCCGCTGCACGCTCCCGCAGCAGCCGGCGATACCCTGACTGTCAGGGTGCCTCCACTCCCACACCTTGGTTGCCGTCATGGCGTCAGTGTCGAGGGCGTACTCGACAACTCGCGAGTAGCCCCTCTCATCCAGATGAGACGACCCCCAGTTGTCCCACATCAGGATGTGGCCGTTGTCTAGCATATGAGGCTTGTGCTGCGATCTGAAGGGGGTCTCGGGGGGGTCGTTGACAAAGGTGAAGTCGCTGTTTGTGCCGCCGAGCTGCCACTGAATGGAGCCGTCTTTGCGCGATATCATGACGATCTGGTTTGCGTTGCGGAGGGAGATGAGGATGTTGTTCCTGTCTGGGGTGTACTCGCAGTTGTTGATGTGGTAGCTGTCGAGGAAGAGCTCATCGCGGGCTGGGTCGTCATCACCGGTGAGGAAATCCTGACTCCGCCACTGACACACATAATACATGCAGAGAGGGAGGAGTCGACGTGGCTGTGTGGATGGGGGGACTGGGTGTGTTGTGTTGTGTGCGACCTCGAAGAGGACGTCGCCTTTCTTGTCGATCTCTTGGACAAGGACGTGTATCCGGCCATCAGTGACGTGGCGGTCGAAGGCACACATGAGGACACGCTCGTCCTCTAATATGTCCATGTGATGCTCATCCGTCAGATACCTGCGCACAGCACACACATACACATACACACACGGGAAGCTCAGCTGTTCGAGGCCTGCCTTTCTCACCGAGCGACCCCGGCACCGACTCACCCGTGGCCTGGCCGATGGGCGCCGACAACGCGATAGTGGTCATCAATCTCAATTCCCTTCCTCTCGGGGTCATCGTTGGCATAAGTCGAGCCAACCAGCACGTTCAAGTTGCCGTCGAGCTGCGGCCGGAAGTCCATGCCCTCCTTGCCGTCCTCCAGCCGCCCCCACCACACCAGCCGGCCGTCACGGGTGAGTATCATCAGATATGGCGCGATGAAGCGGCTTGCTGTGAAGAGATACAGAGGGTGGTCGCCATCTGCCGACCTCGCCTCATCATGTGCCTTGCTGTTGGTGATGAGGTAGCGGGGGAAGTCCGTTGGGACGGTGTGGAATGAGGGAGGGGGGTAGGCACCCTCACCATCACTCGCCCTCTGGTTGTCCTTGTCTTTGTCCCGCCTCTTCTTGTCCTTCGGCTTGGTCGACTCATTTGGCACGAAGGGGTGCTCAGAGATGGTGAACGACCAGCTGAAGCTGTCAACGCTCACAGTAACATTCTCCCCTGCACGGAAAGGTTCCTTCGGTTGAAAGATGGCCGTCCTTTCATCCGTCGCCACCCTCACTTTGCCCTTGTCCGTGATGTCGCCGCTCTTGCTGCCGACCACCTTGATTGTACCATTGGGTGGGGTGGTCGTCTTGCCCGACCGCATGCCGATGGTTGTCTTGGGCGAAACGAGTGTAGAACCAGGGAGGGGGTGCAGGTACTCGTAGCCGCCATGCGACAGCGATGGCTGGGGCAGCAAAGAGATTGTGAGGCACGCAGCGGTGACAAAGGCCGGCAGAATCATCCGTCCAGAATAATATGAGCGCACTGCTCACTAGCGCACACTATTCTGTCCTCATTGCTGTTCTCACTTTCATGGGGGATGGCAACGTGGATGGCAGGGAAGCGGCTGGTGGGGAGGATCAGGCCAATCACAATCACAGGCGCTGCTCAAAGAGGCTTTGGGTCTTCATCCTACTCCTCGCCTTTCTCAACGGTAACAACATATACCACACCGCCTCCCTCTCTACTCCATCATCTGTGTGCCATATATATGCAGTGGTGTTGGCGGACAGGACGCCAAGCAAGACACGCCGCAAGAGCCGCAACGGCAAGAGCTCGACCGCCGAGGAACTGACCGGCTTCTCTGGCGGCTCTCAAAGGAAAAAAGAGATCGGAGACCTGCTGAGGGGCGATGGTGAGAAGGGCACCAAGCGCAGGGGCGGCAAGAGGCAGCACAGGGGGCCGCGAGGCAGGAGGCGCGGTGCGAGAGGGCACAAGGTCAAGAGGGGATATGGGAGGGGCTCCTCCGCCCAGCCCTCTTCTCCTGACAAGCTCTTCGGCCCATATGAGTACGTGCATCCCCGTCCCAAGGCCCAGTTCGTCTCACCCGCCACGACCATCGGCTTCCGCGAGGGTTCCTCACCAGTCGACGGGTCATCGCTGCGTGACGATATGGTGTCGGTGAGAGGCTCCACCTCCGGCACGCACCAAGGGAAGATAAGGCTTGCCGACGACGGGCTGACGGCCGTCTTTGTGCCGGATGAGCCATTTCACAACGGCGAGAGGGTGCGTGTCAGACTGCAGCAGGGGGACGGATCGGCCAAGGACACCCTTGCCCCACAATACAAGTGGTACTTCGAAACCAGCAGCACATGGGAGCCATGGGCAGACGTCGAACCCCACACACAACCCCCTGCACAGCCCCCTGCAGGCTGGTACAAGCCCTCCTCTTCGCGCGTCCAGGGCCAGCAGACTGGCGGTGGTGATACGCTGGAAAAGGTCGACGATTGGCATCTCACACGCACCGATGATGGGGTGGACGAATGGGTGGTGCAGCCGGAGGGGCTGCAGGGGCCGGACAGTGTGGTGACAGACGGCGAGAGCTGGTCTTTCTATGAGTTGGCACCGAGGGATCTGCCGCAGTGGCGCGTCACACGCAAAGCGACCGAAGGCGAGACTGGAGAAGGGCTGATATTCGTTGCGGTATCCCACCAACCAACCCACACGCACCTGGGCACATTGATGAACAAACTCTGTGCATTTGTCCCCGCACATCAGGTGAACCAAGGCCATGAACGGAATCACTATTTGATCATTATGACCGACGAAGGCCAGCTGGTGTATTTCCGGCAAAGCAATGGCACCATCAGTGACTTCCGCCCCCACCCTGACGGCAATCTGAGTTACATCGACAAAGGGACAGCGCCTCATTTCGACAGAGGCGGCGATCCAAAGGCACGTCGTGATACACACACACGCGTCGACTTACGATGGATCGATCATTTGTGTCGTGTGGTGTGTCAGTGTGCGACTACCCTCAGCCCCGAGTACCAGCCGAGCACCAGCTACTGCATGCAGCACGACTACCGTGTTGACCCCCACGGGATACAGATCAGCCGCGACGGGCGGGCACTGATGCTGGCCAAGGACACCCAGACGATGCCAAATGGCACGAAAGCCAGGGGATTCGTCCTGCAGGAGGTCGACACGCAAGGGCTCGTGGTGAGCAATCATCCGAGCCAGTGATATAGGCGTTTGATGTTTGTATCAATGGCGTCTTGTCTGTCGAGTCAGATGTTCGAATTCAGGAGCTGGGACCATTTCACCATCGATGACGGGCAGGTAAGATGGATAGGTCGCAGCACACAGAGTGCCTCTCTCCCTCCCTCCCTCCCTCCCTCCTGCAGGCCATGTCTCACCATGGCGATCCCTGGCATGCCAACTCTGCCGACTGGACGGACGACGAGCACTATGTGGTCAATCTACGCAACGCAGGCGGCGTCATCAAGATCGCTCGCAGTGGGGACATTGTGTGGCGGTGGGGCGGCACCGACAGGTCGGTGGGTGGGATGCCTTATGGGATGGCCTGGAATGGGCTGTGTTGTTGTGTGCAGCTTCAACCAGTTCGCCATCAACGACACCGACAGCGTGATCGACCCACATGACGTACGGTGGCTGGGCAGCGGGCGGTTTTCTCTTTTCGATAACCATAATTGCTGTCACGCCGAGCATGTGGGATCGAGCGACAAACGATGGGCAGCCGACGCCAAGCAGTGCTGCTCACAGCCCTTCTCTCGAGCTGTCGAATATCAGCTCGACGAAGACACAAAGAGGGCCACAAAGGGTACACACACAACACACCCGTGCGTGGGCTGTGTCGCTATTGTTGCTGTGTTCTGTGTGCCATCTGGTCAGTGTTCGAGTACCGGAATTCGCCGCAGGACTACCTCGGCATGATAACGGGCAACGTGCAGACCCTCGACAACGGCAACCGAGTCATCTCATGGGGCCTCTCGCAGCGGCCCCACCCGTCCCCACCCTTCATCACTGAGGTGACAGCTGCCGGGGAGAAGGTCTTCGAGGCACGCTTCATCGAGGCAGACGACAGCAGACCTGCCACCTACCGCGCTTTCCGCTTCCCATGGCAATCTCCGGGCGAAGGCGGCTCGCCCCAGGCCAAATGCTCACCACAAGGGCGCCTGCACTTCGCCTGGAACGGTGCCACTGAGGTGCGGAAGTGGATGATAATGATCGGCGACAGCAACCCACCCAAGCAGCACCTGATGACCGTCAGTAAGGTACGGTTCGAGCAGTGGGTGCCGATGAAGAACGCCCTGTCGGCATGCGAGTTCTACATGGTGGAGGCGCTCGATGCCGACGACCACGCCTTGGGCACATCGGATGTGGTGCCGTCACCTGGGTGCCGCGATGGCGGTGGTGGAGGCATGACTGTGAGTGGCGTTAGGGGTTTTGAAGGACAGACAGGGGGGAGTGGGGGAAACAAGCGGCCAAAAGGGCCTGTACAAGAGAGAGACCAATAGGTTTTACCACACACGGTAGGTAGATTCAGGCATTCATTTCACCCGTCTGTATATGTCGATGGTGTCTTTCGATGGAAGTGCCATCCATTCGTATTTGTGTCTCCTTCATATTTGTCCACTCCTTCATATTTGTCCACACACACATATACACACAGACATGGTTGGTGCACGTACGCCGCAAATCCATTTGTGTTCTGCTGGCTGGGTGCTTGGTGGTGTTCGTGAAGGCATCAACGCATCTTTCGGCCCATGCGTGAAATGAAATGCTTTGTGTGCACACATGGTGTTTTTCATCAATGGGAGTCATGGGTACGTACCAATCAATTCAGACACACGTGTGCGAGTGCGGGTGTGCGCCACATACTGGTCGGTAGGCATACAGGGGCAGGCAGTTTTTGCGTGGCTTGGGTGCGTTTGTGCGGCCCATGGATGAATACAACACACACTCGGGGACACGACTTATTCATGTGATTGATAAGACATGACATACACGGGGGGCGTTGCGAACGCGTCATTTATCATACAGCACGCACCCACATGATCGTGTGTGCACACGTGTCTGACCACGGACATGCCACCAGCACACGCAGGCAGAGAATCGTCTCACGCTCTCAGCTACCCAGGATGCATCAAAAAGTCAGCACACGCAGAACGAACAGGCAGATAGCCGGCCACATCAAATCAATTCAGCTTGAGCTCCTGCTTGAGAGCTTCCTCTCCTCCCTGCTCCAGGATCTCCCTCACGATGTCGAGGCCTCCTATGAGCTCGCCCTTGGCGTAGAGCTGGGGGAACGTCGGCCACTGGCTGAACTCCTTCAGCCCCTGGCGCACCTGCACACACACACAGCCAGACAGAGAGGGAGAGAGGGGTGGCTGCACAAGATGCGTGTGCGTGCGTGCATGTGGTGGGGGGTCACCTCCTCGTCACTGAGAATGTCGAAGGTGTCATATTTGATGTGTGCCATGTCGAGTAGCTGTACGATCTGGTTGGAGAAGCCGCACCGGGGGGCATCGGGGGTGCCCTTCATGAACAGCATGATGTCCGACTGGTGGGTGAGGTGCCGCAGCCGATCCTCAAGCGAAGACTCCCCCTTGGCTGCTGCAGCATCACTCTTCACGACAGAGAGAGAGAGAGAGAGAGAGTAGGCAGTGCACGGACGCAGAGGGGGAGAGAAGTGGACGCAACACACCTTCTGGTCACCGCCCTTGCTGGGCAGGACGTCCTTGAGAGTGCCTTCCTCGGCCATCTCCTTGATGATGTCCCAGCCGCCTATCAGCTCACCCTACGCACACATCAACAGCGATTGTGTCTGCCTGGCTGCCTGCCTGCCTCCTTCTCACTTACGTTAACGTATAGTTGAGGGTATGTTGGCCACTTGGAGTACTCCTTGAGTCCCTGCCGCACCTGCTCGTCCATCAATATGTCGAACGTGGCGTAGTCGGCACCGATGCCGTTGAGCACCTCGACCGTCGCTCGACTGAACTTGCAGAACGGCTGCATCTTAGAACCCTCTGATATATACACACACACACACACACATCACGAGCACGATGCCAACATCTCTGACCACCCTTCTGGCTCCTGGCTCGTTTACGTACTCATGAAAAGCATGACGGGTGATGCGTTGATGAGTCCCTTGAGCCGCTCTTCCAGACTGCCGCCCTCCCCCTGGCCGCTGCCGGTCTTGTCGTCGGCCGCCTCTGGCTGTGGCGGGTTGGCGGCGATGGCCTGCAGCTTGGACACAAGGGCCGGAGGGTTGGCGCCGTGGATGCTCTCGATCAACCTGCTGCCCATCTGGATGACAACAGCCGGGATCGTCTCCACTCTGAAAGACAAGAAGACAGTTGAGTGCAAGGTGTCCATGTGCTTGTGCGTGCGCCTGACTCGGCGTGCTGTCGCAGCTCGTCTGCTTTGTCACTGTCCACTTTGTAAAACTTCATGTCCTTGAAATCTGCACGACACACACCCACACACGCCACACATCCAACGGCATGAGGCCGTCATTCGCTGCTTGATCGTGGTTTTGACCTGTGGCGAGTGCAGGCAGCAGCTGGGCCATTTGAATGGATGGCGGGTGCCAGTCGGCATAGAAGAGGACGACCGACAGCACCGACGGGTTCCCCACCACCTTGCTGTTGAACTCGGCCAGAGATACGATGTCCATTCTCACCAAATGCTGTCACGCGCACCTCCGCTTTCGTTGCCCCGGCTCGTAAGACCCGATGGGACACAGGCGTGGCTGTTGAAGATCTCTCCCTCCCTCCTCCGCAAGTTCAGCTCGCAGACCTTGTAGCTCGCAGGGAAAAAACGTCCGCTCTCTTGTCCGAGGCTTTGCGGAGGAGGAGGCAGTCAGTTGGACGACAAATCCGACGAAAACTGCAAGATCGAATCATTCGGCGAGGCTCCAGATCTGTCAGCACCGCAACAGAGCAGATCTGCCCATGACGAGCTTCGTGCGTCTGAATGTTGGTGGCCGTGAGTTCAGTGTGGCGATATCGACGTTGTCACGCCACCCCGACACGCTGCTGGGTCAGCTGGTGACCAACGAGTCGGCGGCCGAGTATCAGCTCATCCAGCGAGGCCAGCCCGTCTTCATCGACGCCGACCCCTCTCTCTTCCCCTATGTCATCGACTACTACCGACACGGCACGCCACTCTTCATCGATGGCAATACCGACACGCGCAGGCTGATGCGCGAGATGCGGTACTTCGGCCTTGATGACATCAGCGACAGCGAGAGCGACGTACAGCGCCCTCCGCCATCGGAGAAGCAACGAGCGTCGCGGATGGACGAGGTGATGCGGCGGGTGGCCGTCAAAATGGCGCGCACGTTGCTGCTCTGGGTGGACTTGCCTCCAGCTGGAAGCAAGTACACCAACACAGAAATTTCAGGTCTCAAATCACTGCTCGACAGCATCTGTGATTGGGTGGGCCCTGAGGCGGCGGAGATCAAACGCTTCTCAAGTAGTGGAGACAAGATTCTCATGCTGCTTGGCGAGGTCCGGAACGAGATGCAGATCTTGTTGCAGGAGAGTGGCCCATTCTTTTGCCGTCTGGAGCGGGCCCAGAGGGGGGGTTCGACGAACGTCGCCATCACGATCAACAGGGTATGCACGATGGAGCGTATGTATGGATGAATGGGTGAATGGGTTATTTTCTGTGTGGTGTGCTTTTCAGATTTGATGTGCTGCCTGCCTGCCTGGACTCATAGCTAGCTGTCTGTCTGTCTGTCTACCGTGTTGAATCACTCAGTCTTTTTGGCATATTCGGGAGGACGCAATGCACGTACACTCACATACGTATACATATGACATGACTCATACCTGCCCATGTCTGTGTCTGTGTCTGTTTGCTCAATGACTGTGTCTCACTCATCTTCACTGCTGTGACTCTCACACACTGACTGATTCACTGTCCATCCACCCGTCCATCGATGAGTGAGTGAGTATGATGCGTCAACAGTCGTCCCGCTCGCCACACCCGGCTGCTGCCGGCGGTGGTGCCGGCGGTGGTGCCGGCGGTGGTGCCGGCGGTGGTGCCGGCGGTGGTGGTGGCGGTGGGCAGAGGAAGCGGCAAAGACAGACACACACAGACAGTGACAACACATACGACGACATTGCCACACACGACAATGACAGCGACAGAGACACATTCATCCGAAGAGAGGTCGTCGGTACCATACGCACACAGACAGACAGACAGCGGGAAACAAGTGACTGTCCTCATACACAGTGTCTCCCTCTCTCTGTATCTGTGTCTGTGTGTTACATGTTGCAACCAGGTGAGGGCACATACGGTGTGGTGTATCGGGCACAGGAGCGGGGCACCAACAAGACCGTGGCACTCAAGAAGATCAGGACAGACCAACACGACGAGGGCGTACCAGGTCAGTGACTGCCTGGGTGGGTGGAGAGGGGACAGACAGAGACACATACATAGGTGGATGGATGGCTGGCTTTATGTATGTGTTTAATTGTGTAGGGACGGCCTTGCGTGAGATCTCGTTGTTGCTGATGTTGGAGCACCCCAACATCGTGTCTCTGCTGCGGCCCATCCACCACACCAACGCACTCTACCTCGTCTTCGAATGGACGGACTTCGACCTCAAAGTCAGCTGACCAGTCAACAAACAGCACACACGACACACCACACCCCCTCCATGTCTGTCTATGTGTGTGTCGTGTGTGTGTCGTGTGTGCAGCGGTTCATGAAGATGCATGACAGACTTGGCTACGGTGCCTGTCTGAGTGTGCCGATCGTGCGCCACTTCGCCCGGCAGCTCTTGTCCGCCATCCAACACTGCCACACCAACCGCACGATACGCCGGTGTGACTGAGGCGCTGGCTGACACAACCAACACAAGAACACATGACTTGACGTGCGTCCGTGGCATATGCATGCATGTCTCTGCCTGCGTGTCTGTCTGACCTCTCCAGTGACTTGAAGCCGCAGAACCTGCTGATCAACCGCCAGGGCCACCTCAAAGTCGGCGACTTCGGCCTCGCTCGAGTCTTCGAAATACCCTCACAGGTCAGTCAGTCAGTCACTACACACACACACATCACACACAGACAGAGGCGCCACGCAGGACTGTCTGTGTGTGTCTGTGTGTGGGTGTGACTCAGCCGCTGACGCACGAGGTGGTGACGCTGTGGTACCGAGCGCCTGAGATCATACTCGGTGGACACGCAGCGACAGAGAGGAAGGCATAGATGCATGTCTGTGTGTGTGTGTGTGTGTGTTCAGGACAGGACTGCTACTCGACGTCCATCGATATGTGGAGTGTGGGTCGGTCTGACTGACACCACACACACACACCCATCCGTCTATCCACCTGTCTGTCTGTCTGTCTGTCTGTCTGTTTGATGCAGGCACGATCTTGTATGAGATGTTGACCGGCCAACCGCTGTTCCCAGGCGACAGCGAGTTCGGCACACTCGTTAAGATCTTCCACAAACTCGGTACACGAGACAACACACACGAAGTGACGCTTCACTGTGTGTGTGTGTGTGTGTGTGTGTCCCACGGCTCAAGGCACTCCCACCGAGGTGGACTATCCAGGCGTCAGCGAGCTGCCCCACTTCAAGGTCAGCCACACACAGCCGCACACAAACCACATCACAACTCATCTCTCACTGTGTATGTGTGTGTGTCAGGAGACCTTCCCCAAGTTCTCTGGTGTCGCTGAGGATGGCGTGTCTGTGCTCACGCGAGAGCTGGCGGGGTTTGACCACGATGGCGTTGACCTCATCCACAGGCACGTGTAGGAGGACACATCCACACACACAGACAGCATGGGCAATCGATGCAATCATTGTGTGTGTGCGTCTCGTGTGTGTCAGTCTGCTTCGTTGGGATCCTCGCGACAGACTCAGCGCAGTGCAGGCACTCCGACACCCTTTCCTCACCAAACGCGATGCAAACGTATGACACACACGCACACAGAGAGAGCGGTCCATCCGTTCATCCCTCCTGCGTGGTGTCTGTTGTGTTGACGTTGTCAGGAGGCGTCGGTGCTCGCCACAGTGGCCGATCTGGCGGCTCACATGATCGAAGACATGGAGCGCAAGAAACAGCAGCAGAAGTCAGAGGCAGAGCACGAGGG